ACGGAAGAGGATAGCTGGTGAGACAGGTGAGACGGAAGAGGGATGAGACGGAAGAGGATAGCTGAGAGACGGAAGAGGAGAGGAGAAGAGGATAGATGGTGAGACGGAAGAGGTGAGAGACGGAAGAGGATAGCAGGTGAGACGGAAGGAAGGAGCTGGTGAGACGGAAGAGGGAGACGGAAGAGGATAGGCAGGTGAGACGGAAGAGGATAGCAGGTGAGACGGAAGAGACGGAAGAGGATGCAGAGGGAAGAGGATAGCAGGTGAGACGGAAGAGGATAGCTGGAGGAGACGGAAGAGGATAGATGGTGAGACGGAAGAGGGATGAGACGGAATGGTGAGACGGAAGAGGAGGAAGACGGGAGGAGAGCAGGTGAGACGGAAGAGGATAGATGGTGAGAGGGAAGAGGGAGGTGAGACGGAAGAGGATAGATGGTGAGACGGAAGAGGATAGCTGGTGAGACGGAAGAGGGATAGCAGGGAGACGGAAGAGGATAGCAGGTGAGACGGAAGAGGATAGATGGTGAGACGGAAGAGGAAGGCAGGTGAGACGGAAGAGGATAGCTGGTGAGACGGAAGAGGATAGCAGGTGAGACGGAAGAGGGAAGAGGACAGAGAGGGAAGAGGATAGCAGGTGAGACGGAAGAGGGATAGGAAAGAGGTGAAGAGGATAGATGGAGAGACGGAAGAGGTGAGACGGAAGAGGATAGATGGTGGAGGTGAGACGGAAGAGGATAGAGGAGACGGAAGAGGGATGAGACGGAAGAGGATAGATGGTGAGACGGAAGAGGGATAGATGGTGAGACGGAAGAGGGAAGAAGAGGATAGCTGGTGAGACGGAAGGATAGCAGGTGAGACGGAAGAGGAGGAGGTAGGATGGTGAGACGGAAAGGAGGATAGAGACGGAAGAGGGTGAGACGGAAGAGGATAGCATGGTGAGACGGAAGAGGACAGCAGGTGAGACGGAAGAGGATTGCTGGTGAGACGGAAGAGGATAGGAAGACGGAAGAGGATAGCAGGTAAGGAAGGATAGATGGAGAGACGGAAGAGGGATGAGACGGAAGAGGATAGCTGGTGAGACGGAAGAGGACAGCGAAGAGGTGAGACGAAGAAGAGACGGAAGGGATGGTGAGACGGAAGAGGATAGCTGGTGAGACGGGAAGAGACGGAAGAGGATAGCAGGTGAGACGGAAGAGGATAGATAAGACGGAAGAGGATAGATGGTGAGAGGAAGAGGACGGAAGCAGGTGAGACGGAAGAGGATAGCTGGTGAGACGGAAGAGGATAGATGGTGAGACGGAAGATAGCTGGGAGAGACGGAAGAGGGAGGTGAGACGGAAGAGGATAGATGGTGAGACGGAAGAGGATAGCTGGTGAGACGGAAGAGGATAGCTGGTGAGACGGAAGAGGATAGCTGGTGAGACGGAAGAGGATAGATGGTGAGACGGAAGAGGATAGCTGGTGAGACGGAAGAGGATAGCAGGTGAGACGGAAGAGGATTGCTGGTGAGACGGAAGAGGATAGGTGAGACGGAAGAGGATAGAGGTGAGACGGAAAGGATATATGGTGAGACGGAAGAGGATAGCAGGTGAGACGGAAGAGGATAGCAGAGACGGAAGAGGATAGATGAGACGGAAGAGGAGCAGGTGAGACGGAAGAGGATAGATGAGGAGACGGAAGAGGATAGCAGGTGAGACGGAAGAGGATAGCAGGTAAGAGAGGGAAGAGGATAGGGAAGAGGATAGCAGGTGAGACGGAAGAGGACAGATGAGACGGAAGAGGATTGCTGGTGAGACGGAAGAGGATAGCAGGTGAGACGGAAGAGGATAGCTGGTGAGACGGAAGAGGATAGATGGTGAGACGGAAGAGGATAGCAGGTGAGACGGAAGAGGATAGATGGTGAGACGGAAGAGGATAGCAGGTGAGAGAGGAGACGGAAGAGGCAGCAGGTGAGACGGAAGAGGGGTGAGACGGAAGAGGATAGCAGGTGAGAGAGGGAAGAGCAAGAGGATAGCAGGTGAGACTGGTGAGACGGAAGAGGATAGCAGGTGAGACGGAAGAGGATAGATGGTGAGACGACGGAAGAGGGATGAGGATAGGTGAGACGGAATGGATAGATGGAGAGACGGAAGAGGGCTGGTGAGACGGAAGAGGAGATGGTGGAGGGAAGAGGATAGCTGGTGAGAGAGACGGAGAGACGGAAGAGGATAGGTGAGACGGAAGAGGATAGATGGTGAGACGGAAGAGGATAGATGGTGAGCAGATGGTGAGAGATAGATGGAGGAAGAGAGGGATGAGACGGAAGAGGGATGAGGTGAGACGGAAGAGGATAGCAGGTGAGACGGAACGGAAGAGGTGAGACGGAAGAGGATAGATGGTGAGAGGGAAGAGGATAGCAGGTGAGACGGAAGAGGATAGGATGGAGACGGAAGAGGATAGAGAGACGGAAGAGGATAGAGACGGAAGAGGATGAGAAGAGGATAGCAGGTGAGACGGAAGAGGATAGATGGGAGACGGAAGAGGGATAGATGGTGAGAGAGGAAGAGAGACGGAAGGATAGCAGGGAGACGGAAGAGGATGGTGAGACGGAAGAGGATAGAGGATATGGGAGAGAAGGGGAAGAGGATAGGATGGTGAGACGGAAAGAGGATGAGACGGAAGAGGATAGCGGGAGAGACGGAAGAGGATAGGTGAGACGGAAGAGGATAGATGGTGAGACGGAAGAGGGAGACGGAAGATGAGCGGAAAGGTGAGATGGGAGACGGAAGAGGATAGCAGAGTGAGACAGATGTTGAGAGGGGAAGAGGATAGCAGGTGAGACGGAAGAGGATAGCAGGTGAGACGGAAGAGGAGCATGGTGGAGACGGAAGAGGATAGATGGTGAGACGGAAGAGGAGGGAGGTGGAAGAGGATGGTGAGACGGAAGAGGATAGATGGTGAGACGGAAGAGGATGAGGTGAGACGGGAAGAGGACGGAAGAGGATAGCAGGTGAGACGGAAGAGGTGAGACGGAAGAGGATAGATGGTGAGAGGGAAGAGGATGAGGTGGAAGAGGATAGATGGTGAGACGGAAGAGGAGATGGTGAGAGGATAAGGAGGAGGCAGGTGAGACGGAAGAGGATAGATGGTGAGAGGGAGGATAGCAGATGAGGATGAGGTGAGACGGAAGAGGAGGATGAGACGGAAGAGGTGAGACGGAAGAGGATAGCAGGTGAGACGGAAGAGGATTGAGGCGGAAAGAGGATAGCAGGTGAGACGGAAGAGGATAGCAGGTGAGGCGGAATGATTGAAAGACAACCAAAGATTTAGAAACAGTTTCAAGAAATTCATATAAAAAAATAGGAATATGATTTCAACATTTAAAATGTTATTATGAATTACTTTTAATTGCGTGCATGTGTTCCCGTATGGTTATAAATGATTATTGACCGATTTTATCATTGTGATATTTTTGTATTATATCAAGTATTAAGAATATAGTAACTGGGGTCTGCAACTTGGAGGAGAGAGTTATCAATGATAATGTTCTGACTTTGAATCTGTTGTTATCTCCCTTTAAACCTTTCTCTAGGCCTTCTTTTTTATCGTAGGGCTGCTTGCGCCTTTCAAGTTCTGGATTTTCAGTTCTGACAAATATCTAAAACTAAAAAAAGAAAAGACTTCTTTGTTTTGATGAAGAGATGAGAGTTTATCTCAAATTAGGCCTAATAGAAAAGAGATTACTCGTCGAAAACAGGCTCATACCTTTCATTAAATTTGTGTACCTATCAGATTATAAGTTATTTTTGTTTTGTATTATATTTAACACACTATTAGTCATTGTTATTTTTTTAAATTTTAAATGTACTTTTTATCAAATAAAAATTTGGTGAGCAAATTTTCATTCCGAAAATCCGGCTCTGAGAGAAAAAAAAACTTTTGGGAGACAAAAACATAGACAAGTTTGATTCTTTACCTTTTTGATCTTTTAAAGTGAACGGAAGGTTATTCAATTCTTAGGATGGGGTCGGTAAGGACACGCCTTATATAGGAAGATAAGTAGGTAGGCAGATACTAGAGTATTAATATATAGACGACAATAGTACCAATAAAAAATAACAGGGCTGTTTACATATCAGCCAGCAAATCTACCTTGAATCAGAATATCTGTGTACTTTGCTTCCGATCGAACCGTTGTTTCCCGACACCTCTGCATGGGATCGATACAGGAATTGAGAAGATAGAATATAACGATTGACATTGCATTTACATTTTTGAGCATCAAAGTAGACTGAGAAGCAAGAAGCCGGAAGAAAGTTCCACAAGCGAGAAGTGCGATAGAAGAAACTGTTAGCATAGAACGTGCGGTTAGATCTATCCATTTCAATTGTAAAATGATGAGACCTTGCCGCCAATCTAATACACAATATCAAAAACCAAAAGTTAGTTTTGTTATGTATTATATTTTAAAAAAAAAAAAAAAAAGAGAGGGAAAAGGACAAGAATTGCAAGAAGAAGAAGAGGAAGAGGAAGAAGAGGGAGGAGGAGAAAAAGGACAACAAGAATTGAAAGAAGAAGAAGAAGAAGAAGAAGAAGAAGAACAACAACAACAACAACAACAACATAGTCTTCAGATACGCACGTGAAACAATCTATGGAGTAAAGGTCAGTAAAAAAGATTTCAATTTTAGTACACCCTAATGTTAATGAATTCCATCTATTTGTAGACGGAACTCAATAGTCAGCCGTCGAAGGTAGTGCTAGCACGAAGTCACAAGTCATTGTGACCGAGGGTTTGAACGTGCTGGCCTTGTTCAGATTGTTGATCATTCTAGATAACACGCTCTCTCCCAGAAACTGTAACTAAGGTCTGCTCAGCATAGTTGCAGTGTAAACCACAAGTGGGCTCTGCAAGTGTTGAACAAACACAAAATGTGCCTGAGCAGACGTCTGCAATAGGGATTGGCTAGCTGTCCTAGTTTGCGGGGGGCATCGGGTACGTGTGACCAGTGATTTAAACGTTAATGATTACTTACCTCGTGGAAAGTCAAGCAACCTTTTTGAGCATTTCGATTGTTAAAGGCAATGCTGACAGCGTCTCTCACTTCGTCGAGTTGGGACAATTCTTTCAAACTTTCTGGCAGGTAGTATTGCCATTGTGCACGCGGCAGAACCAAACTCAAATCCTCTTTGAGTGTTTCTAATCGACCAATGACATCATAGGACTGACTGCAGGGGTCGCACTGAAGATACATAGGCATGAAGTGTGGGTTCATCTGACCCTTGCCTTTTATCGAAGCTATCACATATTGTACAAACTCAGAGAAGCTGACGTCATGGCCACATTCGATGCTTTTTTTCGTGGCGCCTTTCCGAAATTTTCGGATTATATAGCGTCCGTAATTCTGGAGAAACGCGGTCTGGGGCGTGAAGAGTTTGTCGACATAAGCAGAAAAGAGTCTGGAGTAGGGATCCCGTACGAAGAGAAGTTTGGTGAAGTTGTTCTTCATAAACGTTCTTTGCGGTTCCGGAACCTTCGAAAGGGTCTCCACATACCGAAAATGAATATCGCTTGGCGAAATGTCAAAGGGGGAGCTGTATTGTCCCTCTCCAGCCGAAAGAGTCAGCACGAGACGCCTGAGGAAAGTACAACCAACCTTTGCTATGGCACAGTACAGAAGAGAATACCGCCGGACCACCAACATATTGCCAGATATTTTGGACGCGTTCCGTTTAACAGTTTGGGATTTTCGACATTCTGCAAGAATTGTTTCTTTTCTTTGATTCTGAATTTCTATTTGCTGAAATAGAGAAGAGTCACAGGATTATTTATCAATCAAAAGATTATCATTGATTTTTGAATCGATAGTTATAAATTATGTAAAAGCAATAGAGAAAGTTGTGAAAGAAGAGACACGGTGGAGCAATGGTTGTTGACTACTGTAACCAGGTAGAACAATCTAGCAGGTAAGCGTAATGGACTGGTCCTCGTCGTAGTGGTAAACAATAGGCGTCATCCCTGTACCTCTACATCAGTCTGTATTTATGGCTGACATCAGCCAATCATATTACTGTGAGGGGGAACCCAGGTGTATGCATATTCATTACATCACTATCCTTTGTAACTTTTAGTGGCATTTGCCTCTTCATCATTCCTACCATCGATTTACACTAGCTTATTAAGTAGGTTACTCTTTTCACGATAGCCAGATAGTAAAGTAGAACGTAACTCGAGTAGCACTGGCTGCTCGGTCAGTGAATGCCGAATGTTTCCTTAGAAGGAAACAGCTAAATTTTCCATTACGGTTAGAGATGAAAATAACAGGTATTACACTTTGATCCGAGTATGATGGCAAATGGAATAAGACAAGGTGCAACTCGAGTAGCAATGGCTGCTCGATCAGTGAATGTATAATGTTTCCTTATAAGGAAACGGCTAATATTTCCATTACTATTAGGGATGAGAATAACAGATACAATTTAATCCTAGCACGATGGCCAACGAGTGAAGAAGAACACTGGCTGCTACTAGGAAGCACGTACGGTGGAGTGATGGGTAGCGGCTTTGATTGAGGAATCGGAGATCCGAGTTCGAATTCCAGTCGAATGCATTATATTCACTTACGTGCTAATACCCTTGGGAAAGATATGAATCCTCTTCTTCTAAAGCTATGAGTAAATAGCAGGAGAGACTATGTTTTACAGCCTTGGATGGCAACTGGTCTAGTTGCCATCCAACTTTGAATTTAAAACCTGCGGAGGGTCGTTTGGGGACCTTGTGGCACGTAGTCAACCAGGTCTCTGTATTCGGCTCTTCAGAAAGTGTGGTTGGTTCTTGACAAAGCCTTCACCATTATAATCAAATCATATGTGCAGGTGTCTATCTATCAATTCCTAGGAACTGAGTTGCTTGACCATCATACACCGATAACGACACACACACACACATATATATATATATATACATGATGTATCAAAAATACTTTTACAAAAATTGGGAACGGGTTCCTCCCACCAAAACAAGGACAAAAGTTCCTATGTAAATATGTCTGTAAATCCTACGTTTTTGAGTTATTAAGTTTAAAGAAAGTTTACGGTAGATGGCGCTGTGTTGTCATACAGACTAGGTTACATTTATTATTCGTGTACATTTGTGTCTAGTCTGTCTTCAACGTTTAACATATGCAGTAGTGAGTTAACTGAGAAGTGTTCCGATAAACAATATCAGAATATTCATTGTTGTGTGCAGGCAGATATAATTTTTACGAGGCTGCACGGCTGTATAAGATTGCGTTTCCAAACCGAAGGCAGTCGAGTTATTCAACTTATGCTGCTGTTTATTGTCCGTGGCACCACAAACTATGCATCGAGGAAGATCGAGATCCACTCGACGACTGACCACATAGAACACATTAATTCAATGTATCTTAAATTTACATTTATAACCGGATGTAAGTTAATGGTGACGCATCTTAAAAATGTAAATTCATCTAGATATGAATGAATAACACACCTACCCCTAACTTACAACCTATATTTCTCACTTTTCTGCTTTAATCTTGAACCGTCTTTAGATTGGTTAACCTAGACATACCCCAAAAATTTGAGATCTTGTTTCCTCCTCCTTTTTTACTCTTAAATAAGCTACCGTATTGTTTTCTGTTTTCAAAAGTAATCATTTTCAACATAAGTTACCTAACATAGCCTGAAAAATTATAAGTTCCGAAACATAGAAATTTTTATGTAAAATTGTTTTAATTAAAAATAGTATTAATACATATATCGAATCTCGCTCAACAGAACTAAATCGAGGTTAATAAAGTAAATTATTTTTTAAAATTATTAAAAATTATTTTCCCCCATTACACTTTGTCCATTTTTCTTTTTAGATTTAGACACCGTATTTTTGTTTGCGTTCATGCCTGACTACCGTCGCTCCTTTATCCGGAGACTTTATCATACAAAGCCTAAGTTTCTTCCTTTTGTCGCTACATGAAATTAAGGTTAGCCAAACGTACCGTGAGTATTTAAGCCTACCAGATAGGGTTACGGTCACTGAAATTGCATAAATTTTACTCCACACCCCCGAAAAAAATACGAATGCATAGTACAACCGGACAGCAAAAATGAATGATTTTTAACCGCCTCAAAAAACTTTTCTGTGTATAGTACGAACCCTTATCTTCTGCGTAAAAATTTCTGGTCATAAAAACTCGAATATATACGGTATTATTATTATTATTATTATCTGTGTATTTTATGTTTCCGGCTTTGTATCCTGTAGAGCCGGGTGCAAACTATGGTCCTTCGTCTCTGGGGGGTCGGTAGCGTTTTCGAAAGCGGCTGTTATATGAAAAACGTTCAGTGTTTGCGTTGGACATGCGACATGGAATTTGAAATCTTTTAAACTGGCGCCTGACCAAACGTATACCCAACACTGTCTGACATTCAACCCTTACTTTCTGTTATTGTTTTTTCTTTCTTTCCTTCTTTCTTTCTTTCTTTCTTTCTTTAATCGAGGTCGCCGATTAAATTCAAAAGAAGATTATTAGTGACCTTTTAAAGATTACTAACACAAAAGTAAAACACTCACCTTTCGAACTTTCTTCTCTGACAAAGAAACTGAAATTAGAATTATATTAATTAGCGATCATTATAAAAAAAAATTAATTCAATCGATTTTCGCTTCTAGCGTCTTATATGCACGTGTTTATCGTTGCTTAGAAATCATCTATGTAAACAATGACAGACTATCATCACTGTCGTGTCCGTATATTGCTTAATATGTTGTAATTGACATCTTTGATAATGGCTTAAGTAAGCCGAAAGCTTAGATTATATTAAAAAATATGGATCAATATCAGAATTTCTTTTCTTCGTTCAACGATAATGTTATTAAACTTATCAGTTGTTACGAAAAAGTTTACATAAAATAAAAAGACAACACTTGTCTATATTATTTAATGAAACGTGTATTAATGAAAAATATGCTGCCTAAATACACACATATATATATATATATATATATATATATATATATATATATATATATATATATATAATAAGTTTAAACACTAATATTCCATGGTCATGACCATGGAATATTAGTGTTGCCTTTTTATTATATTCTTACTCTGTCCTGGACATTAAGTTCTACCTGGATTCTATCCTCTTGAATTTTTCCTTACAAATATATATGTATGTGTATGTATGTATGTATATATATTTATATATTTTGCATATGCATGTGTATATTTACCACTAATATTATATATATATATATATATATATATATATATAGGGAAGAGCTTATAGTTGTTCCAATGAGGGAAAAGTGTAGAAACCGCAAACGTTTTTGGTTATAATGTGGATTTTTTTCAATTTATACTTTATTTTTATATTTTTGCTACGCGTGTTTCCGGTCTCGTGACCTTCATCAGGCAAAGAGTGGATATCTCCACAATTTATTAAAAGGATTTACTTTTCCTCATGTTTTTCGATGTTTAACCATTGTCGTTTTTGTGTAGTAGCAACTTAAATATTTTTCTTGGACTGATTAGGAGATCAGCCAATCACCTTACTTACTTAAGGCGAAGGAACGAAAAGATGGTGCGTGGAGAGAGGAGGAGAAGATAGAGAGGAAATGAAAAGAAGAGAGAAAGAACGAACAAGAGAGGAAAGGTGAACGGGAGGGGATAGGGATATATATGTACGTGATAGAGAGAGAGGGGGGGAATCTGTCAGTCCCTGTCGTTATTATTGATATTGTAAAGCACTTAATTTTATTCTATGCTTCGCCGCCATATTTAATTTATAGAATGTCACTTTTGTAACCTGGTCATCTTCTCCATAATCTTGACTATAAAGACAAAAAGAACAAAAATGGAAACAAAAAGATATTTATAAGTAAAACAAACAAGAAAGAGGAAAAAGAAACGTCCCATATATCATTTAAGTCATGACGTCTGTTCCCAGTTGAAAAGTAAGAAACATTTTTAAAATTTCTTTTTTAGATTTTTTTTTTCTTTTTAATTGTATTTGTTGGCGTAGTGCATAGAGACGCCGTTTCACCCGCAGGTGATTTCTCGTTCTTATTTTATTACCTGTTATTGATTAAAGAGCCGGATGATAGGCACATTTGTGAAAGACCAGATTAGTTCACTGCTGAGGCAGACAAATTTGCATCGATTTTCTGCCTTGTTTTAAACTATAACGAAAAAAAAAATCGATCAACTCTGCGCAGAACGCGGGAATAGTTAAAATGGCGACTAGAATTCAGATCGAGTGTCTCAGAAAAACGTTTTAAAATTCCGGCATCACGGGGTCGCTGCGAGTCCCTGGTGACAAATACCTATAAATCTGTTTCCTTTTTTTTTTTTTTTTTTAAAAAAGAATATGTTTTTATTGATTTATTTCGAGTCTTACTTATTCCCCCACCACCAACCAGAAAGTATAGAGAAATCAGAGAGCCGAGTTCAATTTCCAGTCGAGTTCGTTATATTTGCTTACGTGCAAATACCATTGTAAAAGGAATGACTCCATCTCTTCTTTCCATAGCTATGGTTAAATACCAGGACAGACTGGGTCCAATAGCCTTTAGCGTCAACCAATTTAGGAGAAGGACGGCTCTTAATTAAAAACCTTCAAGTACTGGTTACCTCCTTACCCGTAGGAGGCACGGTGGAGTGAGGAGGCACGGTAGAGTAATGGATAGCGGCTTGGATTGAGGAATCGGAGAGCTGAGTTCGAATTCCAGTCGAATCCATTACATTCACTTACCTTGGGAAAAGTGTGAATCCTCTTCTTTTCCCTCCAGCTATGAGTAAATAGCCTTGGATGGCAACTGGTCTAGGAGAAGGAAAACTCTGAATTCAAAACCTGCGGAGGGCCGTTTGGGGACCTTGTGGCACGTAGTGCCCCAGATCTCTGTAATCGGCCCTACAAAAAGTGTGGATGGTCCTGCACGAAACCTTCACCACTATAATCAAATCTCATGTGCTATACCTGCGGGTTGGGGACCGCTTGTGAATTCCAAATTCCCATGAAACTCCAATATTGGAGCCGGCTCAACCCACCCCGGGTGAATGCTGTTACAGGGTACAGGTAAATACGGGTTAATTAGCCTCACTAATCCGCAATTCGCCAAGTGAGTACGGCCACACTCCTGGAATGAGACATTTAAATACAACGTAAATCGCCATATTCTGTCTTCCTGAAGCATATTCTTTTATTATCATTTCTTCTCAATAAATGTATCATTCCCTTTTACTCTCGATGGCCACTGGCTTCTCAGTAGCATTATCGTATTGTTTGCGGTGAAATGATAAAAAAAATTTCAAAAATGCTTACACGTCGCCTATCGTAAAAAAATGACGGCCATATTTAATTAATTTTGCAATTGCATGGTTTATATTTTCTGTATAAGTAATCGTGAATTTTTACCTATATAATTAATTGTGTGCCGCGTAGCAAAAATATGGAAAATAAAGTATAATATATATTTGAAAAAATCCACATTATAACCAAAAACGTTTGCGGTTTCTCTCTTCTTTTTGAAACATACACTTTTCCCTCATTGGAACAACTATAAGCTCTTCCCCATATATATATATATATATATATATATATATGTGTGTGTGTGTGTGTGTGCGCGCGCGCGCACGCGCATGTTTCATTAAAAACGATAGACAAGGTACTACGTTTGAGCTTTTTATTTAATTTTTGTGTTCTGACAAGAGCTTTCTTTTCTGGACAAAGGGTGTGTAAGAACTGTCCAAATGTTTTATAGTCCCGAGCGCTTTCGGCTATACCTTTAGCCATTATCAAGGATGACTTGATTTTTCAGCTTAATTCAGTGTGTGCGTTATTTGTCCAGAAAAAGAAAAGCTCTTGTTAGAACACAAGAAAAATTATATAAAAAGCTCAACTGTAGTACCTAGTCTGTCGTTTTTAATGAAACATGCATAAACGAAGAATTGCTGCCTAAATACACACACACACACACACACACACACACATATATATATATATATATATATATATATATATATATATATATATATAGTAGTAAACCAAAAAATCACAGATTACCTCATTTGGGGTATAGATCTATTTCAAGTGACGAAAACTTCGTCAGCCTTATTAAACCTCGGTATACAGAGGCTTTCGTCGGTTGATCTATACCCCAAGTGAGGTAATTTGTGATGTTTCTACTATTTGCACTGTATAATAAATATACTGATCTTTTATTGTGTATCAGTTTTAATATTTTAGATTACTTGGATCCACTTGGATTATATACCAACGGATTTATTGTTTCATGCTTGAACGCGATCTTCTTCAGGACATGAAGATTGCGTTCAACCAAGAAACAGACTGTCGCCGCTCGGTTCTGGCGTCATTGTGTTCTATTTTATATTTTTATATCTTCATGCGAACTATCTGTGATATCGAGTACTTTTATGATTATTTTTTCATTATATATATATATATTATAATGATAAAAATATAGTCTTATGTCATGCTATATTTATGCCTAAAAGTGTTCAATATCAGAGATAAAGCATATGTGAACATTGAACATTGAAGTCAACATCAAGCAGCGACAGTCTGTTTATACTTGAACGCAATATATGTGTTGTCTTTTTGTTCAACTGTTTATATATGCTGGCTAATTATGGAAGAATTGACGTATATATATATATATATATATATATATATATATATGCAAATATATGGATATAGATCGACAGTATGAAGAAAAATATATACGGAAAAAACAAACAAAAATCTTATATACAATTATGCTGTTTTAATATTAATATGTCAACGTCGGACGTTTATGAATATGTCCTGAAGATGGTTTATTAGACCGAAACGTCCGACGTTGACATATTAACATTAAAACAGCATAATTGTATATAAGGATTTTTGTTTGTTTTTTCCGTATATATTTTTCTTCATATATATATATTTATATTTTAAGCGTTTCACCCCAAGCAAGGCGGGAAGCCACTAGGATGCAAGAGGTTACAGAAATTTGGAGCAAGATCAGATAGGAGTGATAGAAGAAAGGATGAGGAGAAGGGTAGTAGATAGATCAAGACAACTGGAGATGTCGATTGGCATTACATTTGAATAGTTGGAGATTATAGCTCTCGGGGAAACTGGAATACGGACGGGAGTTCCACAGGTGAGAGGTGCGAGACATGAAGCTTTTGGAGTAGAAGAGACAGCTACATTTAATAGTTTCGACAGTAAAAGGGTGAGAGCGGGATGCCAGCCTCGTAGGGCGCTTGAATTCATGAAGTCTGGGAACCAGCGAATGCAGCTCCTCGGAGCAATTGCCATGAAAGTATTTGTAAAAAAGACAGAGAGAGGCGACGGCGCGTCTGTGAGAAAGTGACTGTAGACGAGATGCCAGAACAGGGCCAATTATATTGCATATCCGCCTCTGGAGCTTATCAAGAACTACGAGACAAACAGAGGGGGCTTCAGTCCATATATGGCAGCAATACTCCATGCAAGGACGAATTGTTGATTTTTAGAGTTGAAGGATTGATTCCGGAGAGAAAAAATTCCTGGCGCGGCACAGGGAGCCAACTTTCCTTGCGGTTGACGAAGCAATTGACTCAATGTATTTGTTCCATCTCAGGTCAGCCGTCAACGTGAGACCGAGCAGATGCAGAGAGGTGCTATCGAGAAGTTGAGCGTCAGAGATTCTAATGGAGGGCAGGGAAGGATCTCTGTGGTGATTAATAGAGAGCAGTTTTGTTTTTGAGGCATTAAAGTTGACCAGCTAATTTCCGCCCCAGTTCACAACCGATTGGAGGTCCTTTTCGAGACTAACGGCCAGGTTAGTTTTGTCAGCGAGACTAGATTTGTTTTTGAGGCAGGAGTAAATTGTGGTGTCATCCGCGTAGACGCCAACTTGGGAATTTATGGCGTCAGGAAGGTCATTTATGTAGATAAGGAATGGAGTGGGGCCCAGGATGGAGCCTTGAGGAACACCTGCGTTCGTGGGATAGGAACTGGAGGAGAATCCGTTGTGAACGACCTTCAATTCACGGTTTGACAGGAATGATTGTATTAGGTCAAACAATCGACCCGTAATACCATAACTCTGGAGCTTGCGAAGAAATTCGAAAATTATAATATAAATATGTTATTAAATCACTACAAAAATAGCCATTTTGTTTCAACACTTTTGATAAGACACCACAAGTTTTGAAACAAAATCGCTATTTTTGTAGTGATTTTGTAACATATTTATGTTATAATTTTCACATAAATTATTATATTTGCTCTACTCTATATTGAGCACTCTTTTAAGAATAGTATTTGTTGGTTATTGGAATTTATTCCGTGTACACCAATCCTATACTTAGGTGCATATATATATATATATATTAGGTTGGTGCAAAAATAATGCCGTTTTTGACCTTCAACTTCAAAAGAGAAAACGACATTATTTTTGCACCAACCTAATATATATATATGTGTGTGTGTGTGTGTGTGTGTGTGTGTGTGTGTGTGATTGATGTGTGTGTGCAATCTAAAAAATCATTTCATACGAGGAATAGCCTATTTTGTCAGACGAAGATATCGGTCGTCTGTCTTATCAACCCCAGTATGGACTGAGTTCGTGTCAGAAAGAGAAATTTAACCGTGTAAGCTAAATAAGAAAATAAATAAAAATGCCAGTCGAAAAACTAATCCAGAATTTATCCATTTCAATGTTTCAGTCA